GTGATAACCACACAGGAATTAGCCTGACGAACATAGTGTCTAAGATTCGAGGTTCTATAATTCTTCGACGCCTGAGTGAAGCTCAGGAACAGCAAGCCAGAGAAAACCAGGCTGGCAGGCTTTAGACCATGCAGCGGGTGTACCGACCGAATATTCACACTGCGCCAGGTCCTGGAACTTAGGCACGCTTACAGACGCCCGGCAATAACTGTATTTCTCAACCTCAAGGCGGCATTTGACTCCGTTGATCGAGAAGTCTTATGGCAATGTCTCTCACTGAAAAGCGTGCTGAGGAAGTACATCACCTTATTGAAGGCTCCCTACTCTAACACTTGTGGGCATGTTAGAGCCTATGGTCAGATGTCCAGGGAGCTGTGTTCATCTAGTGGTGTTCTTCAAGGGTGCCCACTGTCACCATTCTTATTCAATTTTATCATAGATATTCTCATGAAGGTCTCTCTCTCGTCACCTGATTACACAGACTTTGGCCTAATCGATGGAGCATTTTCATTAGACCTAGAATATGCAGATGACATAGTCCTGTTAAGTGAAGACGCTGACAGGATGCAGAGTCTTCTGAACACTTTTAGTGGAAATTTGGGAATGTTTGGGATGCGGTTCTCACCACCCAAATGCAAATCTTCACTCCAGGACTGGTCTTCAACGGTACCGCGGCTGAAAATGGAGAGTGTAATGGTTGAGTGTGTTGACCACTTCACTTACCTGGGAAGTAGGATCAACCCTGGTGGGTTAGTTGCCGATGAAATCTCTGCGCGGATACAAAGGGCTTGGCTGGCTTTTGCCAACTTATGCCACCTGTGGCGCCGCCGTGATATCCGAGTGTCTATTGAGGGTTTTGTGTACTGCACAGCAGTCCGGTCTGTTCTACTGTGTGGCTGTGAAACATGGCCATTGAAGGTAGAAGACATGAAAAGGCTTCAAGTGTTTGACCACCGTTGCCTTCGTAGTATAGGCCTTATTCCGTGGTGCCACCACGTGAGTGACGCAGACATCAAGTGTAGAGTTTTAGGGAGTAGAGGTAAATCAGTTGATGAGATTATGAACCTTCATCGACTGAGATGGTTAGGACACTTATTACGTCTGCCTAGTCGTCGATTGCCTCATCACACAGTGTTGGTCGAAGTAAGTCCAGGCTGGAAAAAGGTCGGAGGTGGCCAGACTAAAACATGGCACCAATGCATGAAGTCTCTGACTGTTGGTTTGAGCAATGTGGGGCGATGCAGAGTAGGTGGTTGGGGTCCACGGGACAAGAGGAACCAGTGGTTGGAGACTTTAGGTGATGGCATGGCTGAGAACGGATGTCAGTGGCGCAGATGTATACACACATTATCCTCATCTTAACGACGCTGTACCGAATCTCACCATTTTCTCATTCTTCGTTTCTCGCTTTTCGTACTTTATATTTCTTCTGACTGGGTTTCTTATCTTCCTCTTGCACCTCACTGCCTTTTTACTTGATGTACTGATATGAGTTGCGGCAACTCGAACTGTTACGCAGTAATGACTGGTTCTATGTTGATATTAATGATGATATACCCTACCACAGTGCCCAATTTTTACGGTGAGGCAGCGAGGATGGGGCTTCGTTCAGGTGAATGTAGAGAAAGAGACAGAGGTGATGAAGATACTCAACCAACAACAGCAGCAACTACAACAAGGCGAAGAAGAAGCACCAACCACCATGAAGGGGGGAAATGTAAAGGAAGTTGTCTCTTTCACCTACTTGTCTACCTAGACAGCATCGTTTCAACTACAGGTGGGGGCCGTGGCGGTGGCGGTGGCGGTGGCTCAGATGAGAAAGTCAGAGCCAGGATCGGACAAGCAAGACAGGCCTTCCTGCATTAATCTGAAGTCAGTGTGGAGATCTACTGCACTGCACTCAGCATGAAGGTTGAACAAGAGCTGATTTCAACATATACGTCAAGTTTTTTATCTGACTGTTTAGTTACTGATCTTGGTGATCAGCATAAAAATTTGAATGCATGTTTCGTCCTAATTTGGACTCATCAGGTGGAGGTTGCTCACTCTCCTAGAAAGATTAATAAATTAGCAAGTATGGTGCTTCAGTTTTAGGTCAATTGATGATAGACTTTGAAATGAAGTTTGGTACATAGTGTTAAGAATGTGTGTCTTTTTGCTCTTAATCGTTTACATCAGAATCTTGATCTATTCACTCAGAGGAAGTAAGTTGAACATACTTCATATTCTTTTACTTTGCTTCCTGCTTACTAGATGTGTTTTCATTTCCGTTCCTATATGCCTTCTTGTCATGTCTGATGTATCGAAACACTTTGTTCGCGTTATGCAATCTTCAAACGAAACTTCATAGATTTAAAGAAGTTTCTGTCACACTTTGATCAATCTTTGGTATTCATAACAGTTTTTTAAACAATATTTTTTAGCACTAGCTTTTTATTTTGTTTGTTACCATACTACAAACGTCCAGTATACTCCAGACACAAAAACGTTTGAATAAGATTAAAATCGAGGACATGCGTAGTCTCTAGCATCTCTTTAATATAAAGTCACTACCAGATTCAGATATCTAACTGTTTAAGAAGATAGAAGTCTTTTCACTAATTTCATACATTTGATTCCGACAATAATTTTATTGTGTTCTTAATACAGGTTACAGATGATGTCATATTGATGAGTTTATTTGCCAGAAAAGACTTTTAGATTCACTCATAAAGCACATGAAAAATAAGTAGGATTTTAAAAGGTTGTTTAGTTTCTTACAGTGATCTTACTAATGAACGGAAGCATATCATTAAGACTGATTTCGATTCATTTTTCTCAATGTCACTCAAAACTAGTCTAAATTGTTTAAACGGTTCGTGAAAAAATTGAGAAACCCGTAGACACCATGATGATTAGTAAGCTGTTTTTAAAAAGGCATTATGAAGACAACTACTGCACGATGATCCTACCACCTAGTTTCACTACAGTCACATAACAATTAACATGGTTTACAGTACTAAACTACTCTTTGAGGTTTATGAGAATTTCACCTATTTCAAGGTTGTATTCATCATGCACTGACATCAGTTGGAAAAACATTGGAAGCACTGGATAGCTGTTTCACCTTAGTATGGGATTCTTCAGCAGTACCATCTATGAACTCGCCCCACCATCGATTGAACTAAGGACTTTCAGTTCTCTCAGTGAACGCGTTAACCATTCACCCATTGAGTCGGTGTTCAGTGGTTTACAGTTTCCTACAGCTATCAATTCGCGCGATATAGCGCGGCTATCCACCGTAGTCTTTAGATGGCATCCTCTTCACTTCCAACTAGTTGACTGCGCAGGTCACGGCTTCTCGTTAGAACTTCGGGATATCCATCTCAAAGCATGTTATCAATGAGCAATATGCAGTAGTTTGTGGGGATTTTACTTATTTCAAGGTAGTAATCATCAAGGATTGACATCAGTTGGAGAGTCTTAAGGTCACATGTTAATTAATTAGCTTGTTTATTAGGAAAGTTGTTTAGCTAAGCAAATTTTTCTACACGTAGTTGTGATACTATAACTTTTTTTCGGCTTTTTGAAATATAATTAAGCATACTGCAAACATATCCCAGTATTCCTGTACAAGAGTGTTAATCACGTTATGTTTAGTATTTACAGTTACAATTCTACAATATAAAAATTATCTTAAGAAGATACGAATTCACAAAGAATTTCCACTTTGTAGTTGCTAAAGGAAGTCGGAAGCTGATAAATGAAAAAACTATGATGGACTTTCAAGGTCATTATGACAACAACTTTAATAGCCAATTAAGTTTCGATACTTTATGAAAAACTACCTTAGCAACTGAAATGAAGAAACTTAATTGATCATTTTAACGGTCGCTAGAATGGCTATAAAAGCCACTGACGTTCTGTCATATGAAATGCAGGTGAAAAACGTTGGGATTTTGACTACCCTCATGCGACAGTTATGATGATCAACACATATTTACGTCAACAACAACAAATAGGAAGTAAAACGTGTATTGACAATGTGTACACAGTTGTTGGTTGGTTAGTGAATTTCGATAGTGAAATGTCTCAACAAACAATAACTAAGTCTTATGATTTCAACTACAGCTCCATAGGGAAATCAGTCCACTCCGATAGATGCAACCACAAGAGTCAATGAAGAGGTCAGGTAAATGATGTATTTAAAACAGTCATTAATATTCAGCTTGCAGGAAAGCAATAAATGATAAAATGTTTGAAGTTTTAGCTAAAAACCTTCAAAAGAATCTCCCTTTTTAACCTAAAATAAGAAGATTATTACTACATATTTTCAGTTGACCACTAAGTTACCAAAAACATCTGTTTATCGGCAACCGAGGAGAAAGAAGGTATGAAGTAACAATTACTGCGGTTATCTATTTACCGATCACGGATGAAATTTAGATCAAATGGCAAACAATTATTATACATTAATGATGGATAGTGCCTAGTAGTGGAATCCAGGACATGCGTTTCTCCTATTTGGGACTCGTCAGCTGGAGGTACCTGCCTCTCAGTGAGTGGTGTTGCTCGTACTGGGAATCAAGCTCAGGACCGATGGTTTCAAACAGAGCGTCATTCACTAGGCCTCTGTGATTAGGTCACGTTACTCTCTTGTGAGAAACTGTACTGTTTCGCTCATCAAACATAACATGACAATTGCTTAGCCGTTTATTTTCTGAAGTGGTACTGTATATCCCTACTCTTCCCAAAAATATTTCATATTTTGATCTTGAAAAGTAATCACTTTAGGCATTAAACTTATAAAGATAAGTATGTTTTTCAGTAAGAAATCTGACTAAAAGTTAAGGGCGAAATAAATCCATCAGAAAAACGTAAATGGAGTTATGGTTAATAAACAATCAATGATGATGAGTCGATAATCTGTCGATCTGTTAACAATTGTCAATATTCTCAGCTATAATTAACAAAAGATGACAGCGTAATTTATACATTCTATTAGAAACTCAATCACTCACTTCAACCTCTAATTTCTCAATCCGTTTTTGAAACATTTTCAATCTATGGTGATCAGCTGATTCACCAAGATAGTTAGCAGCTTCATTGGCTTCCTGTAATAATCTGAAAATTTCATCTCGTTGCTTCAGCCATTCGTTTTCTTTAGACGCCGAACCTTCTAGCTGTGTCAGATAAGTCTAATAAATGTCAGAAAAGGCAAAAAACTGTTTCTTTGACCATCGATAGCTATTATTATATCAAGGCATCTGATGCAGGTCAAATAGTAGTGGATAACTGTAGCTCGGGATGTACGGCAACAACAGCGAATGAGAATAACACAAAAAGAACGTATAAAGTGAGCACGAGAACTAATTCCTTGAATCCATAAATCTTTCATTACAACTGGTATTCCCTCTAGTTGAGACTGTGAAGGTAAGAGCATGGTCATAACTGTCAGTTATGTAGCCCATAAGACTACACAAAAGCTTGATAAAAATCGGTCAGCTAGTACCAAAAGTTTTACCGGACTTACTGAGTAGCCATTCAATTTGACATGCCTCACATCACCATGTCAAAATGAAAGATAGATACAAGTCAAATAACCCCAACCTGGAATTCAGCATTTCCCTAAACGACTCAGATCAGAAGACTGAAACTTCACTGATTCATGAGAACCTTCAGTCTTGACACTCTTAATGTTTTTCAAGATAAACCTTGTCGCAGCCAACATTGCACGACGGGCAGATGGTGAACAGGTTTGCGTAATGCATTTCCCAACCACCTTACTTGATGTAGCAAATAATTTACCTAGCTTAGCTACTAACCTACACCCGTTGTCTACTTTACTAACGTATTGAGATATCGTCAGTCACAGATGCACTAGCACTGGCCAGACTTTCCAGGTAAGTGTCAATGTGATCAGACAATCCACTACCAAATTTCAAAGTGTGTGTTTCCTACGGGGATTCCAAAAGTGCATTTTAACTTACCCTTCCTTCTTGCACAATGAAGTCACAAGCTAAAACGATTACATCTGAAATTCCATTTTAGTCTGTTCATTAGAATATCACCCAGTGAAACAGTATCATTTGCTGGATAACATTTCCGACACAATTTATTGTCCACATTTATATCAGGTAACTCCACAACTTCCAGACAGAGTTTATATATTCCTAATTTTCTCTCCTTCTCTCTAATGAAAAGGGTAGTAGAGTTTTCCGTATATCTGGGACAGGCGCAGAATCATTTCGATTGCATGTACTTGATGTTAATTTAATAAACAAAGATTCGGTTATCAATCTCTCCCTTCACCGAATCGACACCATCGAATCAACATCAAATACATGTAATCGAAATGACTCTGCACCTGTCCCAGATATATGAAAAATCCTACTACCCTTGTCATCAGAGAGAAGGAGAGAAAATTAGGAATATATAAATTCTGAAGTGATGCAGAGTATTTGTAGCTCAGGTGGATGGTGTTGGTTGTATTGTGTTCTCTGAGCTGGGTTGTTTAATCGGGGAGCTTTTATTGTCTTTCTGGACAACATCATCAGCACTAACTTCAGTATGAAGTGAACTGTCAGTGTCTCTCCTTGAGTGATTTAGTAGTTTGCCCTAACGAAGTGGTCTGTGATTGGTTGTTTCCTTCGATTGTTGTGTCATTGATTGTATAGACTTTTGGCTGTTCCTCTGCTTCACCTCTGACCTTTCTGTCGTTTATCATTTTTCTCACTGGTTGATAGATTGGGTCTATGTCTATACATTTATACAACTCACTTCATACTGAAGTTAGTGCTGATGATGTCGTCCAGAAAGACAATGAATGCTTCACGATTAAACAACCCAGCTCAGAGAACACAATACAACCAAGATTTATAAACTCTGTCTGGAAGTTGTGGAGTTACCTGATATAAATATGGACAATAAATTGTGTCCGAAAAGTAATCCAGTAAATAAAACTCTTCTACTATGTGATACATCTAATAAATCAAATAAAAATGAAATAACTGTAAGTTTTCAGCTATATGTCCTTTGATTCATATCAATATTTCAATTGGTATTCTGACCTACCACTTAAAGCTTGAAACTTGAAAATATAATATGCTAGGATGAGTGAATATTGTAGATTCTGTGCAATAAGTTCTGGATGTCAGTTGGTGATAAATTGATATTTGGAACTTATATTACTCATATTCAAAACCCAAAGATGCACTTCATTTCCTGATGAAATAACCATTACTATTTAGTTGTTGAATTTTCAGACATCATTTCAGATCAGAGGAATAGTATTAATAAAATGGTTTCCTCAGTACTTATCATCATCCGACTAAGCCTTCATATGCCTACCATGGTACCAGTGAAGTCTAATTGGTGTACATGCAAAACTATCAGCATTAGCCATCCTTACGTCATATCAGGGATATGGTATTCTTATGACCGGCATTTGACGGAACTTATTCATTCATAGGTAATAGGCTTAGAAATTTTTTATGTATTTTCACTTGCTTGCATTTAGAATGATAACATATATGCTGTACTTACAAGATTCAAATGATGTCTGATTGAGGTCAAGCTTAAGTCTTCCATCTTCAGCGTTCCATCGAGCTCCTACCAATAACTTAGCAGTAGTGTTTCAAAATAAAATTATTTTCTCTTTCCAAAAATTCCACACACAAAAAGTACCCTATTGATGAACAAATGCAAAAGCTTACTTCTATGTTTCTGACTTGTTGGTCTAGCTTATCCCACATAGCTAGACGCTGTTTAATCCTTTCACCCAATTGTATGAGATGATTGGATTTCTCTAAATTCCACTTGGCTTCACAGTCATCTTGCCATCGTTGAATTATTTCTAAAGCATTTTCCGGTAACAGATTATCATCATATTGAGCGATTTTATTTAAAAGTCCAAAGTGTTTGCCAAGTTCACATTTGCATTGATCTAACTTTTCTGGAATATGCTCAGTTCTAATGCAAAGCTGTTGTTTTCAAGGAAGCAGAAATGATGATGAAGTGAATGTTTGCCATAGCTAAATGGTTATGTAAATAGATCTTAAATTCCTACTAACATATCTGAGTAAGACTTCATTGATTGAAAATGGCTATATTACGAAACGGAATGATAGAATTCGATCAGTCCTCAGCACTTGGGGCTAGACAGCAAGACAGTAATGACCAACTTTATTCCTAATCTAGTCCAATAAAGAAGTTGGTCATGGTTTGAATTGCTTGGTGGTGAATTATCTGACTTCATTACTGCGAGATACGGGACCAGGTCATCAAATGCACATTAGCTCTCTAATGGTTGTGGATATACTTTGCTGATGAATGTTAAAAAGTACGAAACGTAGATTGATATAACCATGCAGAATGATTGTTTACATCAATCACCAAAATATAGCACATTACACTGTCATAATACTTAACTTAATAGCCAGAGTACAAAGTTAATCGAATAGAATTCGATCAGTGTTGAGCGCTAAGGGCTACACAGTTAGATTACTTAATTACTCAGTGGTGACTGACTCTTGGATCTAAACTATTTCATAGATCGATCAAGTGGACCTATGAGAATTTGAAAAACTAGAATATCGCTTATTTAATAAAAGGGTGACATCCTTTACATTTTGATGCAGGCAGGACAGATGACTCCATCAGAAGTAAGACATAGAGAAGAATTATGCAGAGTCATAGCAATACAGAAGATCTGTCAATAGGTAGTAAGAAGGAAAATAACCGAAAATTAACAATACTATGTAAGTAACAGAATGAAATTGACTGAAAATATGAACCATGCCTGAGTTACTGTATTTGTTGATTAGCAGAAGATTTGATATTAATTCGTCGAATTAAACCTGATATATGAATTAGACATAAAAGTTTTGGTTGGATGCAGTGGTTTCATTGTAATATCTTGAGAAGCTAGTTCCATGTTCTGCAGCCAGAAAAACTAGTTTAAAGACAACAAATTAAGTTGATAGATTCTCAAACAACTAGCTAACAAGCTGCGCTCTAAGCCTTGGTTTATACCAGGTTCCTAATCAATATCGAAAATCATGAGACCTAAGTTAAATAGGGTTTCCTCTGAAGAGACTTCAAACACTCAACACAAAACCTTGTACCACGAAGTTGGGTCATTTGGCTCGGTAACTACACCACGATCTTTCTCGATACACCTTGATCATCATTTGATCTGACAGCTGCATGCATCACCATCTGAAGACCAGTTAGAGGGCTGGAGTAAGAGAATTAATCGATCTACTTGGTCAAGAATCAAAAAATCAGCAACACGAAATCGGCTGGTAGTAACCTAACCACTGCATTTAATCGGTTGTTTTAAGAATGATGATACCCATCGACGAACAGTTTTTTTTTCCACTGGTGGTATGTACACTCAAATAAAAATAAAGTGGGATGTGAGAGCTTCAAAAGGTTTCCTTTCGGTCAAACGTTGTTTCAAATTTAAACAAGCTGATCTGTCACACTATTAGTCTACCATTGCGTATTCAACACTTTTGTTATCTACTTCAATCAGTAAAGTTTATTAGACAATTCCTTTGTATCTAATCCTTAGTGTATATCCTGGAAGAATATGATACGGAAACCTATTGACATTCTATTTCTTGCTATGGCAGTAGATTAATGTCATGGCATAGTTAACATGTTGGAACAGTTTGATATCGTGTGATGTCAAATAACAAACAGTGCTATGGTTTAATAATCAGTGACGACGATACTAGTTGTTCAGGTAGTTTCTTTAAATTAATTATTATGACTTCATATCAAATGTTTAGTATGAACACAGTGACATAAAAGTGGCTAATCCAATCGGCATATTTTTATAAGACTTTCCCTGGTGGCAAATACTACAGGTTTGGGAAGGTATCAAACACGCACGTGAATGTTCTCGGAATACGAAACCTGGTTGGTAAACGTCTTGTTATCAAGATAGACAATGGTGAGATTATTTTCGATCGGCCAGTTACTGAGATTTAAGAGCTAACCAACTAATCAGGACTTCAACAGAAAAGAGAACTCAATCTAACTACTTCAACAATAATCTGTTTATTTCATTGCATAGTGTTTATGTGAAGTTCATAACATTTACTGATTCTCATAATTTTGTTGATATGACTGACGCTTTAACTGCTTTTTACTTTGAAAAAACAATAATTATGTTCAGTACAATTTATTGACTTCTGCTATCCCATAAACTATTGAAACACACACATGTACACTTACCTGATAATCTGTGAGGATCCCATTTACCATTTCTCTGGTCTCAGTTTCTATATTCCCATCGACTAAGTTCAACCAATTACAATAACGATGCTCAAAACCAGTAGCACTCTCCCTTCGACGACTACGTATACGAACACCCGTACTTGTTTCTGTTCGATTGATGTTATACAACAAGTCGAGAAATGTTCTACGAGCTTTAGCTGCACCTAGGACTGCACTACTTCCAGGCTCATGACCGGTTACTTTTGACAAACGTTTACCTAGTCTGTCAATCAGGCAGCTAGGCAACTCGGTGATTCTTTCATTTGAGATGGTTCGAGATAAGTCATCACGAATTGAGTTAAGTTTATGGTTGTTAGTACCAAAGATTTCCTGCAAAAGAAACAAGTAAAATGGCTATATTGTAACTCAAGTTCTGTATTTACGATTATTTTTTCGATATCACTTATATATAGTAGTATCATTCAGAATATACTGAGTAATACTAGCTGGTGTACTCATTACTTGATGCTAAAAAATTATATGTACACCGCTAAGCATATATTTGATCTACATTGGGACTTGTCAATAGGTTATAAGTGCAACTTCTAAGAATTCAACACTTCCATCCTTGATTTATTGAGGTAACAGCTGACTTTGTATTTATACCAGAATGTTGAATGAAATAAAAGGAATTCATGAGTCAGTAACTGATTAAAACTAGTGATTTTGGATAAGCTCTTCACTTTCGTAGAGGACGAGATTACCGAACATGGTTGAGCTTTATCAGTTGGTTGGAGGTAGTCGACAGGATGCCCTCAACCTATGTTCCGTTCTGATTGGAACTCGTCAGCAAAGCAAATCTGCCGACAACCCTAAAACCTAGGTTCAGGGTCTTCTACCGATTGCCACCAACTAACTAACATCCATCAAAGTGCCATCCAGCTTGGAAAATGATCGATGAGATGTCGCTGGCACTCAGGACTAGACAACATGAAATCGGTTGCTCCCTATCTGTGTATAAGCCATTATACTACTTGTGTTAAAGTCTGCTCTTACACTCAAATTAGATTCGAGCTTAAAAGAAGAGTATATAAATGATAAAAACAAACTTGACTAAACAGCCATGGTTAAATTACTTTTGTGACCTTTAATATAACATTCCACCCATCGTTTAACTAAACATATGAATAAATATTGCTATTTTCTAGCACTATCTTGAGCATTACAGTTTCGTATACATTAATCCCCTGTTCACGTTATCATTTTGTTAGATTAAAAAAAAACTGAATTTTGAAGTCTTAGAATACTTCAGAACAACTTGATTTCTTGAAGATCTTTCACCCTAATCTGTGGATTTGGATAACCGCATGAGAGTGGTCTGAACACTGGACAGTCATTTCATTAGTTCAGGGTCGAACAATCTGCAAAGGTGTACCTAGACCAATTCAACTCACAAAAAAATCTCCAGGATAACTGAGTTTATTTGTCTAGCTGCTTTGCACATACCAGCATAACTTAAATACAATGATGAATTTGCAAATTATCTACAAGCTGCAGGGTCAACTTTACCATTTTTCCCAACTTATTAGTTTTTTTTCTGCTTTCTTAATGATTTTCGGAAGCACAGACATGTGCGAGAAATACTAAGTAGCGGAGTACAACTTGGGCACTGTGGTAGACCGTAATTCCATTTTAGTCTGTTTATTAGAAATGTCACACTGTGAAACGTCATCCAGTAAATGACACTGTTTCACCGTGTGAAATTTCTTTTAAACAGGCTAAAACAGAAATACTGAATTTCTTGCAGGTGATAGACAGACAGACAGCTAAAAACAAAGTAGAACCTGCCACACAGTTGCATCGATTCAAGTTGCGATAATTCACGTAGCATGTAAATAATAAGTGGATGTAAAAATAGCAGTACTAAAGTAGACAAAGGAATATGAGAGAAGAACAAATCGAAAAATGAAAGTCAGTCAGAACCTTTAAATTTTAGAGGACTTTAGAAAATGAATATGTGCGCCAGTAGGACTGATTTTCAGCCAACTCACCAAAATTCTTCAACCACTGATTCCCATAGTCTCTGATAGGAAGGGGCTAAAAATGTAAATCAACATTCTAGGTCATCCGCCGGAGGGGTAGAAGTGTTTATTTTTCAAATTTCCATTTATTTTTAAGTGTGGACAATATAATCGTATTCGACGACTCCAAAAATGATGCAGCTAACAAGAATGTGTGTCGTCGAACACAAGACATTTAAAACACCGGTTCTCTTCCGATCACCAAAGATAAGCAACGTTGGGCAGCTTCGTAATTTCACGAGTGACCATCTGGGAATCCCGAATATTGCCAGATTCAAGGATAAAGCTCCGTGGTGGAGATGTTCACTGCAGGTTACTAGGCTTGTGATAAAAAAAGGTGCTCCTTCATTAAACTCCCTCAGTTTATTAGTTCAAAAATTTCCTAGCCAGTTCGAAGCGCGGACAAAGAGGAAAGGTTGGACATACGCCTAACAACCCTACCCCATAAAACAAATCCAATCGCTAAACTAACTTCAAAGCACACATGAAATATTAAAAATAAAAATCAAATTATTCCTCACTGGAATCCACCAGACAAAATGACCCTGGTTGCTGAAAGCCTGCCTGAATGCCTACCTTCGGGAAGCCAATTAAACAATGTGTCTTCTCTTCTCTTCTCTTCTCTCCATCAAAGTAAAAGTAAACACAGCGAGTGGTTATCATCGTGTCCCCAACAGCATCGAAGGCCCTCGCTCTCTCTCTCTGTGTGTGTGTGTCTCTCTCTCTCTCTGATATGGTGGGAATCAATCTCCTCCTACAGCATCAGCATCATGACAGCAAGATTCACATCAAAAGGAAGGAAGCAAAGTCACAATCACACAATGCTGTGCTATGCTATGCCATGCCATGCCATGCTTTGCTATGCTATGCTATGCTATGCTACACACCGACAAATAACGCAGATGAAGAGAAGAAGAGAAGAAGGAGGAATCCCATAGACAACTGCAATCAGTAATGGACAAGACGCCACACCACTTGGCAATAGTCACATCCAAATTGACATGAATGCCAAACTGGGAGCAGACAACACACGAAGAGAACTGTGCATGAGTCGAGAAGCACTCGGTGAAGTGATGAATGAGAACGGTGTTGTGATGCCCCAGATCTGCATAAAACATTGTTATTGATCCTAACATTTCAACGTGTCATTCCCACACCAATTTTCGGTACGACTAATAGTCTATTTTCTGCCCCCATTGTAATGTAAATCGCTAATTGGTTACACTTTACTCTCACTATCCAAATGCCTTAAATTAAGGACAACGTGACTTTTCATGTGTATACTTATTCAGGAGTTTTGGATTCATTCATCATTATATTGTCGGTGTAATACACTCTCTCATCTGCCAGCTTCGGTCTTCCCTCTATTCGTCCCAGGGTTGCAGTCAGTGACTGTTGCGTACTAAGTTAGGTGTCAGCTAAGCGTACGTATTGTATTCAATCCGAATACATACATATAACCGTATCCTTCGCAACAATAACAAATGGAGAAGTGTTTGCAGACTCCTACGCATCCAACCATTTGGTGATTGGAGGTGTGGCAGTGTGTACAAACACAAGGATGTTCACAAGGTAGACAGAGACATGGATTTGATTTCACCAGACACCAGGACATACTGAAAATCACATCGACTTGATTTCACAACGTGAACGAAGTGGATACGCAGCTCACTGGACACAAGATCAGATCGAGAAGAGGAGGAGATGTGGGTTCACACCACTCACACCACTCACACGACTATCTAGTGCAAAGAACCTGTATTCAAAATTAAGTTGGAAGACTTCAAAGAGGCTGGTGATCATCGGCCAGAGTTCAAGTTGAACAACCACCTTAAAATGGGAGTGATGCGTGAGACTACAAGGGAGATCTTCACGTCAGTCAGTCAATGAGTCAATGAGTCATTGAGTGAGTCATCAGGACAAAATGTGAGACATTAGGCAACATTCTGGAGGAAACATGTGTGGAGGAACAGTGGAAGTGTGTGAAAGAGACGTGGAAGGAGACCTGCATAACAGTGTTAGGAAGGGAGAAGAAGCAAGACAGGATAGGACAGGACAAGGAATGGATCTCGATGGAGGAGGGAAAGGGAGAGTAAGATGATGAAGCAGAAGACGAACCAGTGAAATGTAGTGTAGCGCATTGCAATGCAGTGGAGTGCACTGCACTGGACAAAGAAGTGAAGAAGATTGTGTGTGGAAAGACAAACGACACTTCTACGACATACTTGCAAGGGAAACAGGACACACTGCAGATAGGCGAGATAGAGAGAGACCTGATAACACTATATCAAATAACTAGGTTACTCACCGTCTAGGAGGAGATCAACACAGATGAAACAATGAAAGATAGTGAAGAAAACTTAGTTAGCGAAGAGGATAGATGAAGGAAATGATGAGCTGACCACTTCAAAGTACTCTTGAATTGATAAGCACCATCACCAGCACCACCACCTGCAACTCGAAAAGAGATTACCAACGGCAAACACAGAATTAATTACCAGTGAACGCAAGCCCTCCGACAAAAGCAGAAGTGAACTCCTGAACACCATAATGTTGTCGAAAGCCGGGAAAGCAGCAGGATCAGATGGAATTCCTCCAGAAGCACTGGAAACAGATGCAGATGCAACAGCGGACATGCTCACACGACTATTGCAAAAGGTTCAGAAGGAAGGAAGGAAGGGAGGCAGGAAAGACACCTGCCGAATGATTGGAAGAAGGGCTACCTTGTCAAACTCCGAAACAGGGGGAGACCTAAGTTATTGCAAGAAAAATTGGTGGTGTGGAATCATGCTCGTCTCCCACGCACCCAGGAGAAAATATTAAGCCGCATCATCCTGGAGAGGCTAAAAGAGGCTCTGCATTCTAAATTACTACCAGAACAGGTTGTCTGTCTGTCTGTCTGTCTGGCTGGCTGGCTGGCTGGCTGGCTGGCTGGCTGGCTGGCTGGCTGGCTGGCTGGCTGGCTGGCTGGCTGGCTGGCTGGCTGGCTGGCTGGCTGGCTGGCTGGCTGGCTGGCTGGCTGGCTGGCTGGCTGGCTGGCTGGCTGGCTGGCTGGCTGGCTGGCTGGCTGGCTGGCTGGCTGGCTGGCTGGCTGGCTGGCTGGCTGGCTGGCTGGCTGGCTGGCTGGCTGGCTGGCTGGCTGGCTGGCTGGCTGGCTGGCTGGCTGGATTCACGAAAACCAAATCATGTTCACATCAAATTGCAACGCTACTCTACACAACATCATAGAACAGAGCACAGAATGGCAGTCAACTCAACTCAACCCAACCTCAACTTGATCGACTTTGATAGGCCTTCTCATTTAACAGTAGCCCTCTGACAAATGCAGATCTGAACTCCTGAGTTCATCTTTCGGTTGGTCTGAAATGCAGTAGCTCTTCGCCTAGATTCACATCATCACTAGGCATCCACAAATTTCATCACGCTTTCCAGTTCCCACGGGTCAATGCAGTTCGACAGCAGACAGGCGGCTCTCCACTCTTATCTAGTCGACGAGTGAGCACTCTACTCAGGACGTTAGTGTTTGATACACCAACTACCTAGCCACTAAGTCTCCAGATACTCATACAGTCAATTTTGTACATTCACCGTTCTGGCCAGATGAAGTCAAGTGGATGACCACAGTATTGTGTCCTGTATACATGTCTCACAAACACAGTACACATCCGTGGCTGGAGATTCCAGAGTTTTGTCTACAGAACGGTGTTTTCTGACTCGCCATAGGCTTCTGACGTTCACAACTCTAATGTGAAAGTGACAGTGGGTTCTTGGCAGCATAGAAATGGTGTTTCGATGGCCTGAACTTTCTTCAGTGGACTCAGAGTGATAGGTTGACGAAACTGTAAGAGGCAGGCAAAGGGGGAGACATAGGTATGGTGAGTTATGTTTTATTTCATTTCGTATACTACTAGGAACGTGCGGGTGGTCGAAACTTCCCGGTTGCCCATGCAGTAGAAGGCTAGTTCGACTTGAGTTACTTAGAAAAGAAGGGTTAATGCATGAACGAAGAGCCAATGGGACACTTACTTGAGGCCCGTCATAAACCTTTTTAGAAGTTTCAGGTTTAAGCTTGTCAGTTTCAGACCCAACTATGAACCCATACGCCCGGATCAGCATGCCATGGGGAACAGGGGAGTATACTCCTTTTATGGTCAACTTCTTTTGACCCTCCTTCCTTCCCAAAGGGAAGGCTGTGACAGCCTGACACCGCCGCTCATCCGTGGGGAACGTCTTAGTGCTGTCACAACCCATCCAGCCGCCACTATGAATCTGCTCTCAATCTTCATCATGCAGTAGTAATTTACACTATAACTTTTTGTCTTAACACTATCCAACTAACTTTTCTCTTATGGAAGGACCTTGAGAGAACAAGCGTTCCACCAGCATAGCTCTTTGAATGGCTCAATGTAGTCACGAGTTATGTGGAATCATTAACTGTAGTACAGTTAAGTTACGGTGTCTAGATATACGTGAAACCCACAAGTACCTTCTTGTTACTGAATGTTTTGGCTGAAGCCTGATAATAACTAACACGACGGAAGACTAAAACGTACATTTTCAAGTGAATTCTTCTACTTTCTAATAGAATGTTAAGTACTTCAAAACGTTCTAATCCCCTGACTAATGAAAACCGTTTACTTGGAATGAATGACTTCGATCAAGTTAATCCGTTGCATATTAACTTCAAATCAGAAACAATCTAATAAACTTAATTTTTGCGGCAGTTGAAGACAAACCAATCGATATTCAGTCTTCTAGGTCTAAGAGAATATCTAGATTTCGAAATTGGAGATGATAATGAAGGATGTTAAATCCAGGAGTTACCAGATGCTTACAAATACTTTTTCAGGAGTGTGTGAGGCTGGTGAAAATCTACCTCAGCTACCAGCAAATAAAAAAGGCGACATTAAAAGGCACTCCACTTCCGTTGTTTTACTTACCGTCTTTTCATTTTGTAGCTTATCTAACAATTCACTTGATGGAGGCGAGTTCAGTGGTTCAGCACTTGATGGACGCCATGATTCTTTCTCTGTACCACAGAAACCCAACGCCTCTGTAACGTATGACTTTTGATACCATTTTGAGGTCACCTGTTTGAGCCATTTTTCTGCTTTACATAACCACTTAGATACACGGCCAAATTCACCAGGTACTTTCCCATCTAATTCCCATAACCATTCGTCAATACTTTCTTCCAGGTTGTTCCATGATTCTTCTAAGATTTCTACTTCAATTGAACTAATCAGTGAATCAGTGTGAGATAGGAGACCAGAGTACCATTGATCTTTAAGGGATTCATAATTCTCTTCTTCTTTCTCCTTTTCGATAACTAATTGTTCATAGACCTATAATTGGATAAAGGTACGATAAGATATATGCTACTACGATATACAAAAATGTTTTGCATCAAAAAAATAAACAGTATTAGAACTAGTTATCTGCTAATTGGTAAGACAATTCTTTTTGCATGAAAGATATTCTGTGGTTACACATGTTGCACATGAACATGATGCAATTACTAATACAGAAACACGTGTTTATGAAAGTACAACTGAACCACTATCTATCACATTTACAAGGACATGGGTGACTTTCAAGGCTGAAATAACCATTTAGGTTTCCTTATTTTGAATGAAAAAGTTTCTTTTTTCAGAAAATACACAACTCTAATTGGCTACCTCAGTAGTTGCCGCGGTTGGGTTTAGATCAAATCATGGGTATTTGGTTAAGCAACTGACTTTAAAGGTAACCCTAACAACTCAAATAAGCAATCAAGTTTCAGTATTTCTGTTGGGAAGGTATTTGTTTATACGATAAAGAGACGTCATTGTTTATCTCAGCAGGTATTAGGATAGCTATTAAAGCAATGGGTAATATGTGAACTAAGCATGCAAACATAACGCATTAACTGTTAATATAATGTCTGTCTGAGTAATCGAAAAACGGAACATAAAGGTCATGGTGTCTAGTATATTTTGCGTCAGTGATATTAACAAAGGGGTCAAAGAGGCTTATTCAATTTCTCCTAATGGGGTAGTAGCAAAATAGGGTGAGGTTTGTTCAGTTGTAAAACAATAAAGGGAGAGATGATTCATCAGGAGAAAATAATTATAGACTATTTGAAACAGTGTTCAACAGCCTTCACAAAAATATAGATATCCATACTGGTATGTCAACAAAGACCAACACATTGTGCGCTGACTTGAGCTAGTATTAAAAAAACTACGGACCTTTCAATGGACAAAGAGGATTCTTTTCAGTAACTTTTACCTCAGGTTCTACAGTTTTATGTCCATACTGTTGAATATGGAAGTAAATTTAGGTTAACAACACTAAGTAAAGACGGATAGTAATTAGCAGTGTAATTCGGGATGCGCGTTTCGTCCAATTTGGGACTCGTCAACTGGATGTACCTGCCTCCCAGTGAGTGACGTTATTCCCACCGGGACTTGGATTCGAATACAAGTAATTATAATAACAATACTGAGATTTGAATTAAGAAAAGGGAATACTAAAAGCAGAATTAGAGTGGGTGTTTTTCGTGGATTCTCCTCAGCTGCATTATAACCTATAGAATGTAATTTGTTACTGGATGATGATTAGAGGTAAAATAAAAATCTGGACCACTGCCGGGTTCGAACCAGATGCCACCAAGTTTCCAGCCCGGTGCTCTACCAACTGAGCTATGAGGTATAATAAAAACATTTTATACACATAAATATTATATTCTATAGGTTTTGAAGTAGGCGAGGAGAACCTACGTAACATATGTATGATAATTTTGCTACTATTGTTCTTCGTGCTTTTATGAGTTTCCCACAGTGAAGTTTTCTCAAACTCAGAAAAAACTTATACGAAAGCAATGCTAGTATAAAATAATACTGGAATTCTGTTCGGAATCATCAAGTGTGTAAATGAATATGCATCTTAGGTAAGACCAAAAGGTCACGATAACTCTTCTCGAACAGCTGTGGTTTACAATGAATGATTATAAGCGACAGAAATCTATCATTGATAAAACAAATTATATATATATATATATATATATATATATATATATATATATATATATATATATATATATATATATATATATATATATATATATATATAATGTATGCTTACTCTCCATCTCCCTCCTCTATCACCTTCCATGTGTCCATCGAGATCCATTCCTTGTCCTGTCCTATCCTGTCTTGCTTCTTCTCCCTTCCTAACACTGTTATGCAGGTCTCCTTCCACGTCTCTTTCACACACTTCCACTGTTCCTCCACACATGTTTCCTCCAGAATGTTGCCTAATGTCTCACATTTTGTCCTGATGACTCACTCAATGACTCATTGACTCATTGACTGACTGACGTGAAGATCTCCCTTGTAGTCTCACGCATCACTCCCATTTTAAGGTGGTTGTTCAACTTGAACTCTGGCCGATGATCACCAGCCTCTTTGAAGTCTTCCAACTTAATTTTGAATACAGGTTCTTTGCACTAGATAGTCGTGTGAGTGGTGTGAGTGGTGTGAACCCACATCTCCTCCTCTTCTCGATCTGATCTTGTGTCCAGTGAGCTGCGTATCCACTTCGTTCACGTTGTGAAATCAAGTCGATGTGATTTTCAGTATGTCCTGGTGTCTGGTGAAATCAAATCCATGTCTCTGTCTACCTTGTGAACATCCTTGTGTTTGTACACACTGCCACACCTCCAATCACCAAATGGTTGGATGCGTAGGAGTCTGCAAACACTTCTCCGTTCTCATTCATCACTTCACCGAGTGCTTCTCGACTCATGCACAGTTCTCTTCGTGTGTTGTCTCCTCCCAGTTTGGCATTCATGTCAATTTGGATGTGACTATTGCCAAGTGGTGTGGCGTCTTGTCCATTACTGATTGCAGTTGTCTATGGGATTCCTCCTTCTTCTCTTCTTCTCTTCATCTGCGTTATTTGTCGGTGTGTAGCATAGCATAGCATAGCATAGCATAGCAAAGCATGGCATGGCATGGCATGGCATATCATAGCAGAGCACAGCATTGTGTGATTGTGACTTTGCTTCCTACCTTTTGATTTGAATCTTGCTGTCATGATGCTGATGCTGTAGGAGGAGATTGATTCCCACCATATCAGAGAGAGAGAGAGAGCCTTCGATGCAGTTGGGGACACGATGATAACCACTGGAAAACTCAGTGTGCTCGTGGTTGTCGTCTGTGTGACGATATCGAATAGACTATTGACTATCCGGTTGACAGATTGGAGAGTCCATTTCCATTCGATCTGGTTTCTCAGATTCCTAACACTTCTCATTTCTTTTGCAATCTGGACAGGCTTGCTAGCCAGCCAGCCAGCCAGCCATCCATCCAGCCATCCATCCAGCTTCAAACATTGTGTGGACATTGCATGTCGCTGTGTTTACTTTTACTTTGATGGAGAGAAGAGAAGAGAAGACACATTGGTTAATTGGCTTCCCGAAGGTAGGCATTCAGGCAGGCTTTCAGCAACCAGGGTCATTTTGTCTGGTGGATTCCAGTGAGGAATAATTTGATTTTTATTTTTAATATTTCATGTGTGCTTTGAAGTTAGTTTAGCGATTGGATTTGTTTTATGGGGTAGGGTTGTTAGGCGTATGTCCAACCTTCCCTCTTTATCCGGGCTGGGGACTGGCTGGTATCTGGTGAACTGTTTATCGAGGGTTTTCGCGTTAGTGCGATAATGGTCTACAATTTCTTTCTACTGTTAATTTGCGATATAGTGCGTCCATCATTGGATATCTTCAGTGAGTATTTTTGTCTCATTTGCGTTTTTTTAACTGACGAATGTAGATATTTTATAGTAATTTCAGAAAATCCGTTTCAGATCATCCTACATATGAACAGAAGGTGGCATCTATCACGAACTAATATTTTCATATTCCTACTTTCGTGTGGATGAGGACGTAAGTGTGATTCGCTCAATAACGGTAGGTATTTCACGGAATACAATGGAACATTTTTAAGAGCGAAAAAATGGTCTAAGTGACAGTTGGGATGAATTCTTGTACACAATGTGAAAGTTGAAAATTAGGCTATTTTGGGTAGGATGCTTGAGAATTTGTTGTTACTGAAGTAGACCAACGTAGTTGTAGAGGCACCACCAGTATTCTCTGAATACCTAATACGAGTTTTCTATGCTGAATCCTAGCACTTCTGAAACTTGAGGGATTTTCAGACTCATGTCTCTTGGGGAGCTGCTAGGAACCACATAACGAGTAGAGGATTTAGAGAACTTTTCACCTTCTCCTTCTATGTCCTAAGTCATTAACATTTCAAACCACCTGTTTTCGTCTTCTTTCATCTAGCTAACTTTTGGCGGAACACCAAAACTTTACGATTGCAGTCATTTCCTTATGCACTTCGATAAAGATTTTAGATGCAAAGTTTACTGTTCTCATCTGTACCTTCTTGTATTTAAAAGCTTGAATACTGACAAACATTTGGAGTGGATAAAGTAATTAAAGCTTTCATTCTTTCCCTCAGTTTGATCTCTTGGTGGTAGCAAATGTTTTCACCAATAATACAAGTAATTACCTTAAGATAAAGATAAACGTCTATCATTTCTAGAGCTAAGAAAATCCTTTGATATTTCCAAAGCATGAAATCCAAACTGGGTTTGGATATCTATAAATTTCTGGTATAAAGTTATGAAAACTTGGTTTTCAAAAGGAATTTTTAAACACTGATAAAACAGAAAGTAATTATTTCAAGTAAATATGGTAGTAGAAAGCAATGGGAGCTAAAAAACCCTCTGTAAACAAATAGTTTTATGAGGTAATAAGTCAAAACATATCCACGTCAACACCTTGCAAACTACTGTGATCCAGTAGAATGTAATGAAGCCTTCTTAGAAAGAATATTTCCATAAATTCATTTCATTAAATGACCTACTTGATACTGATCATTGAAACTTGAGCTTCCAGACCGAGCCGCCCTGATTTTTGACTCTGATTCTCGAACAAATTTCAAAAGGTTGTCGAGTTTCATTTTGACATCTGTTTTTGTTGGCTAAAAGATAGTGAAGGCGTAAATATTTAACATTTTCACACTACTTATATCCGATTCAGTAGACTACGAAATTTTAATAATCTTTAGGCTTATCCAGTTAAATCAGCTTTTTGCAGAAAAATGAAAATTCAGTTTACACTCAAAGGGATTTGTTTCTCCTGACAACATGACATCACAAAAATGTGCCTCGTAACGCAGTTAGTCAAGCTCCATAGCATGAAAAGCAAACTTTTAGTGGTTACTTTTAGACTTGTATTCAGTCCATTGTTCACAGTTAGTAAAAGACTCAAATAAAATGGGGAAGGTTTAAAAAAAATACTCGTTTTTGGTTTCAGTGGGACCTGGTAATTAGTTTGTTCCTACTACTGGTGGCCCTCTTAAACTTTGGGCTACGGAAAAAACTCCCTACGAATATATTTCATCAAATTTTTTTTCTCAATATGTTTTTATCTTATGTCTTTCAAACGCATCATATGCTCTTGCACACTCTGAAAGTAGTTTCGAACTGCTGTTTTTCAGGCTAACAACAAAAGAGGGGAAAAACTATACGCCGGTAAGAGATGGGCGTATAAATGCACAGAAATATAGTACATTACTATTCCTTGAGTAACTTTATCGAATTGCAGATTTTGGAAGTGACTGAATATACTACCACTGCCGAAATTACTCTCTATTTCCCATTCATTCAACACTCCAAACCAGGTGCTAATATCATACCAGGTGCATGTTTTATAGTACGGTTTTTACTACGGTTATTATTAACATTGTTGAAATGCGATGATAATTTCGTTTAAAGATATTCTACAGGGAATGAATTTGTTGAACTATCAAATGCTGAGAATTCCATACTGTTATTACTATCATTATCACTATTATTGTTGTTGGTTTTCAGCATGGTGTCACACTACATATTTTAACAAAATAATTCAAAAATTTAAAACGATTAGTTCCCTTTATGAACTTCGACAAAACAATAGGAAGACGTAATTGAACTATGTAATGTATTTGCTTAACCCATTTCGGACAATCTGATCACAAATGTACTTGTCATAGGTACTTATACGAAAATTCACAAAGATAAACGGCGAGAACTTGAAAAGAGGTCAGATAGGGAGGCTGAATTAGGGGCAAAATAACAGTGAAAATCAACAGATCGGAAATAATAGTATATCGAACTTGATTTCAGAGCTGAATTTATCAAGATTGATTTAATGTGATAACAGATTGTTTTTAACAGAGGTGGTTTAAATTTCCGAATGCCTAAGGTCTAAACAAACCTGAGGATCTATTCCTAACACTTTTTGTAAATAGATCTATAGGAAGTAGCAATGTCATTCCTTTGACCTATCTCAACGATATGTTTTGCGATGGAGAAACTTAGACCTTTGCTACAAACGTTTACGGATTCAGGTGATTTAATTTGCTTCTGAAGCCGTTTTGGAATATGTTCCGAGGCACATATTTGCATGGAAGTATGTATGTGTCACCATATGTACATTTGAATTGGTAGATAGAATGGGATGTGACATTGTCTTTCACATACCATAAGGGTTTGGGAGAATACACAGTTTTAGTTGTTTCTGTTAATCAAACCTAGTTGCATAGTAAACCCTTCTAACATCAGTTTTGAGTTTTTGCTTATGGACTAAGCCATGAGAGTCACTTTTGTCTTCATCAGTCTTCCATGTAAATGTGACTGCGCTGTTGGAAGGACTTATTATGCAGCTAACATCTGATTAATAGAAATCACCAAGCCCGAATTGACATCAGATGGAGAACTGTTTCAAACGTGGGGACACAACAGTTGAATCAGAGTCATAAATTGATGGTACAGAGGAAAAGCTGTTCTATGAAGCTAAGTAAAACGATGTTAAGAAACAAAGGTAAATTTAACAACTGAGTGAAGACTGAAGTCGACTGAATAAGCAGAATAATCATCTGTATACGGCAGGATTTCTAAATAACCGGCACATTCATAACCTAAAGTTAGGTTTTAATAAAAAGACTTTTAGAATTTTGAAATGTTAATTACAGTGACTGGTTACTGGAGGATAACCAATTTCATCCTGTCTAACCCTCAATCCTGATCATTTTCCAATTATGGCCATCAGACTGGGAGACTCACTATCGCGATGTACTGAGATAGATGTTAGCTGAATGGAAGCAGTATGTGGGAAGCCATGCACCTAAGTTTCATGCTTGTTGACACTTGCCAGTAAGGCGTATCTGAAACCTTGACAGGTTATTACTGAGTTCGTCACTTCCATCCAACTAATATTTATCTCGATCTCCAATCCTAGTGGTTACATTGCAAAATGATCGATATAATTCGGTCAGCATTTATGACTAGACAGTAAGAAGTCGGTTGTTTTTCAGTGATCCACCAGTGTATCTAATCCAGTCCTACAGGAGTTCAACAGTGGCCCGAATAGTTCACTGGTAACATCTCTGGTTGTTGCACTGAGCGACGTGTGTTTGAGACAGTAGTTTCCTTGGGGTTGCAGATATGTCTTGCTGATGAGTGCCACCAAGCCTGAAACCTATGTCCAGAGAGTTATAATCAGTATGAGGAAGTCTGAACTTTAGCATCCATTATGCTTCTTGTATGAACTTTGTAGAACCCTTGATATATTCAATTAAGAAAAGTTTCTGTTGAGCAAAAAACCCTCGGTGATTGATGTGAAGAACTAATCAGCAGCTGGGTTTCATCACTCAGTTTGTAGAGCACCTGGACGGTGACTTGGAGGCAGCTGGTTCGAATCCTGCCGCGATCCAGATTCTCATTTCACCTCCGATCATCACTCAGTATGAATACATAAACGAAAAGTACGTTAAGTCCGATTGTTTTAATCTGTGCTCATAATTAATGTACATATCAGATAACTAAAGATAATTATTGGCAAAGAAAGCAAAAACCAGTAGAAATATGTCTGGGCCACCACTTTTTACGAATTCTAGTAATTTGTGTTGCTATTACCTGACCACAGTTAGCTATCGTAGACCTTCAGACATCTTTGGACTTTTCACAGGCCCTAACTACTGCCTGAGTAAGACATTTTCTGAACAGGCTAATTGATAATCTGCCTGATCTTCGAAATTATTTCGCTTCAATTTATCAATTTTGTCTATGCGATAAATAACAATACAAATAAAGCAATAAACACTTACTGAATCCGGTCTTCGTCTTCCTGCATCTGGATAAGCTTTGAAAAACTGAGCAACATACGTAACAATCGACTTTTCATCTGGTCTGTCAACATCGACATCTAAGATCAGTTGAACATTTAGCATGAAGGATGAAGATTAGTATTTTTGCATGCAGTTACGTAATCATGATGTTTTGCAAATGGAAGCATATTAAGATTAGATTTTGAGTAACAAGCTGCTTTAATAAGCGTGTATTAGAAAAATGATTAGCATAAATACTGATTTCATACAAGTTGAACGCTGTTGGCAGTACAGAAAGTAATCGTGCAACACTCATGTTTCTACAGTCTAGTTAAGGATCCATATGACTTAAATCTCACTAAAATGAAGAACGCATCAAAAAGGGGCATAAGTTAAAGCTTTTTTAAATGCACTGATTTTTAGATAAGGTAATTGGAGGTTAGTAGGTGGCAAGTTGTTTGTCCCTTTGAATGAAATTTTCGTCTGTCATCTCCCTATCTGATTGACATTTACCTTTAATCGCTTGGGTTTAAAAGGAATTTGGTCGAAAATCTAACTCAGCCTACCTCGTTGGAGACATATTTGATTCTGAATGCTGGTGAATGCAAGCCTGTTATGTGAAGTAGAAAACAACACCAAGTTACAGAAGCCTGATAAATCAACTTTCATTATCACACCAGATAGCATTGTCAGATTCATCAGTTTGTCTTGATGACATTGACGGACAGCTATGTGTTATTTTGAAATTGGCATCATCCCAGTATCTAGGCTGTAGAACTTCCCTTCATAAAAAATGTCTTCTTGCATAGCAAACCTTTTCCATAATCTCAGAACTTAGTTTGTCCCTTTTTCCAGCTTAAATTTTGAAATGATGCCCCAAAAACTTTCATTCAAGATGAGTTTCCTAGTCCACTTTTTAACACCATGAAGATTTCCAATTCTCTAACAAGTATTCTTCCTGTTTACCCGATTTAATATATATTAGGCATGCAGGTGACTGAATATAAATCAACGGGTTAAACGTTTTAGCTAAAACACGTAGTAAGAGAGAAAGGATCATCAAAAAGAGAATTGTTGGGACTATTTGAGGTAGGTATGGTCTGATAGACTCGTATTATTGATACGGGGTGGTGATTGAAGGTGAAAAGAAAGCCCAGGTTGCAACAGGGTTCTGATCGACAGCCTTCTGATGTGACCCAGGTCTTTAGGCTGCCTTAAATCATCATTACCTATCCAAGAGGTACTCACCAGGGTAAAGCTGGGTTAATGGTTGATTCTTTCTAGATCAAAAGAGATAGTATGATGACATATAATTCATCAGAAAAGAGCCATACTGAATAAACCTCTTATTTAAATGTGATTCATCCATAATTTCATTAGTATTTCTACTGCTTCTAGCCTCTTTCAGGGCACAGAACCTTATTACCAATACACACTGTCTTTCACTGTAGTAATTAAAGCCGAAATTTTGTTTTGAAAATCCCTCTGCTTTTTAAGCACACACTTTATGGGTAAATTACTTTGCTATTTCCATTTCACAGTGTTTTTGCGCATATTTAAGCCTATCCATGGGTGAGTAAAAGCCACGAAAGAAGAATGAAGCCATTTATTCGACAAATTTCCTTCTTCTCAGTTTGTTGAATGTTGGTCAAAAAACCTTTGTAGCATTTTCAGAAGAATCTGTAATTAATTATCGGATTGTCAAATCATATTTTTTTAAAGCAGTTACACAAAACTGAAAATCGTTTTAACATCGCCAAAACTTCCTAGAGGATTTGAAAAGTGAAGTTCAAATAGTCTGTTGAACATTAAATTCACAAAAAGATTCATGTAGTTTCTTCTGAAACAGAAATATTTGAAACATACTTACTAAACATACAAATGCTTACTCACCTTCAGGGTCAAGTAGTCTTGGTATGCCCAAATGTTTTTCAGCTTGAGTGAATGCATGCTCTAAATTTTCTCTAGGTGTCCTCGTCTTGACTTTTTCCATATTAACTAGACTTGAATCAATATTGTGCACCATAGCATTGAATGCTATGCCGTCACGCCAGCTGGGACCGAAATCCCGGATTTGTACATCGTATTTTCTAAAACAATATAAATAGTTAAATACAGTGAAAGGAGAATTTATATAAATATGCATAAAGCCATATATAGCTACACTCAGGCATCGTTTGTCGATACCGAGAAGTCAAAAAGTAGCAGAAAACCAAAGAATGTTTAGAATTCAGTCTCTTGTTGTGAAGGAGTATGGACAATGTCAGCTCTTGAGATAGTATATTCAAACTTTGAAGTGTGATGAAGTTTAATCAATGAAAGTAGCTAAGCTGCATCATTTTCCTCTGTCTTCACTCCTGGATGCCTTACTAAAACGGTACCCCCACTATTTGTCTAAACATGCTCCTTCTAACTGTCAGTCACTAGCTCCAAAGTTATTGTTACTGAACCACTGGTTAGTGCAAGCATCAGTGATAGTCATATATGTTGATCAATGACAACTAGATGTTTTTAAATGTTAGCTGACGAAAATGAAGATAAACATCTACGTACAAGAAGTGGTTGAATCCTCCGGAAACTCCACTTCTTGTATTCAAAATACGCATTGCCAAAAATTATCTCTAAAGCACATTTTAAGCTTAAAACACAACAAATCATAGGCTTGAGTCATTTAATAGACAATATTTGAATAGCCTGCACATTCTAGTTTGCACATTCTTAGATAGTTATATCTCCGAAGATTAGCAGGAAAAATAATTACCATAAATGGGTTATCCTCAAGACGTTTATATATAAAACTTCCGGGTAGTTATCTATCACTTATCTCACTCTCACAATGACATTTGGTCACAAAAGCTCACACAAGATTTAAAAATTTTTTTGGGCAACATTCTCTATTGTAAACTGCCAGCATAAGATATCCTGACTAGAAGAATTGAATTCTATCTTCAAAATTATGAATATGTTCGGTGTATTCTGTTATTGAATACCTTTTTCCTTCTAAAATTTAGTGAATAATTAAAACTTAGCCACTGGAACTTTAAAACTAGGGCTTAAAATTGCCCACCTTACTGAGGTGCAGATAAATAATAAAACATTATGCAACTCCTTAACCTTTTCACTCATTTATTCAACAGTTTTCATGTTCAGTCTGAATAGTAGAATTTATTGCATTTTCTCGGTGACTGAGATCAGTGTTGTAGAGTTCATTTCAGTTGAATGAAACGAAAAGTAGGTTAACTTCACAATTAAAACCAGGTTATCATATTTAAATATGACTAAAAAGTGTCATTACGAAACCAACTGTTATGTTCCTGCTCAGTGTCTTGTTATGCCCTTTACAAAAACTTAAGTATGGAGAACAGCTTTCATATTCAACATAGTAGGCGGTTGGATTGCCTCATATGACTATTTAACTGACGTATAATCATACTACAAAAAAGAACAGCTTGACTTGGACTCCAACCTACATACAGTGGAATACAAATGGCTTTCAGTATTATCATAATACCATCCATAATGTACATCTAAGTCTTTCCTTTTAGATGAGTAAGCACAAATAAGTTATACAGGATAGAATGCAATGACAGCTAGTGACTTGCAACACAAAATAACACTTGTACACAAATCTCTTCACCGTGATGCTTATTGACGAAATAAGTTACTTTTGTCTACCATTAATTATATAATGATAACTGCGAAAGGGATATAACAAACTAGTATGTGCAGTAACTTAGTTGATGATTTATGGGATTGATTAGTCTAAAAGTTGCATTTATTACGGACTGATATCAATTGGAGAATCATTGAAAACCTGGTACCACTGGAAAATTGTTTCCTTCCATTATGAGACTCCTAAGCATTCCAAACCAACCACCCCATGAGAGGTCGAGTCCAGGGAGGTCAGATCTCATGGTGAGCATGTTGTCACTCAGTCACTAGGTCAGAATTCACTGGTGCACATTTTTCTACTTCTGCAGTAGCCAGACGCGAATATTTGTACTTACAGCTACCTTCCAATATCTCAAAAAGGTATTATCTAACCGCGACTGTTTACCCTGTATATTATTCAGTTGTAACTTACTATTATAATCAGATTTTTATCATTTTATTAGGTTATTTTTTATGTATGTAAAGTGTGAAGACTTGTTCTAACTTCCAGTTTATCGTTAAACTCATGAATGTAACAGTAAGTACGTCAATGTATATTCACATTCATTCAAGGAATAACTAGCTCAAAGAAAGTGGCTACTAAAAATCTGCAAAAGAAAGGTACAAATTGTGAATAATCTGAAATCTAGGTAAGCAAATGTACGCTGTAATATCCCGTATTGTAAAAAAGATTTACACCAATTGAAAACAGGTAAATGGTTTGCAGTTGCTCTACTGGTTTCAAAATTAAACAGAATTACGATTCAGCAGTGACAAGCTGTCGGCACTGATCGAAAAAGCTGACAAAGAGATTAGTGAATTCAGCAAAACAAAATGACTTAATTACATATATATTAAGGAGAGTAGGTTAGATAACCGAAAGGGTTCAAAATTTTTGCAGATAGCATAAACTTTGCACTTGTCGATACCAACAAAATTGATGTCTTGTTGATGAATCTATAAGGAATAAGAGTACGAGTCTTAATGAGGGCTAGTCAAAAGCTAGTCATAAACGTCAGATGAAGAAATTGAAAGACCTCACTAAACATGAATAATGTCTGAAGAACTACAGTCCTACTTATTGACTCGACACATGTAATACTTGCTAGTTTAACTGTAATCAGTTTACACAAGGTTGATGAAAGCATCCAGAATGTTTCATTTGCCTCAAGTTGTTGTCTGGGTCGCCGGTACACAGTGGGTCAAACAGTATCCTAAAACTACTCATCTGATGTGCTAAATTTAAAAATATGTGCTGCTAGTTCATTTTTTTAAAAACATTTTAAGTGCATTTAGCATTTATAAACACTTCCAGTTCTCATTTTAAAAGGCAGTGTTATACAAAGAAGAAAAGTGTTTAGTGATAAAGAATGTGTGATAACTTCAGGAAGAACCTCCTGTTTTCAGGATATATAGTGCAAAAAAGGGTACGAATCTCAAGCAAGCAAGGTGAACTGATACACTGAACGGGCAAAAATAATGAAAAGAAACACTTACATTCCTTCTTTTCTGAAAGAATCAACCCATAACAATGGATATGAATCAAACAAATATATTGTTCTAACAAACTGCTGATCTCTGATATCTAAAATGATAGTGTTCTGAACCACTTTACAACATTTATCTAACAAATACTCATGAAGATGACGTTCTTGATAGATCCTGTTGCCGTTCTGCAGGATACTATAGCTAAAGGAATGAATGAACCTTCCTGATATCGAAAAATCAAAGCATACTTGTTCATAACAAGAAGTTCAATATTTTAACTCATGAAATCATTGTGAAACCCACTACAAGTCCTGATCGAAAGCAATAAAAGTAGGACTAGTTATTCTGGCGATTGCTATGATGACCTTCACCGTCACTCCACATGCTTATGTGTATAAACTGATTTTGAATCATTTCTCAGAAAAATTTGAAATAAACTTAACATGTAGGTCAAATTATATAGGACCCATTAACTATCACAAACAACACTCAGAACATAACGAAGAACTTATTATCTGCTTACAAGAATTCACTGCATAAATACATTTTGTTAACTCGTGAAAAAATTCCCTCACCAAAACCTATAAATACTCAAAAGCCAGGTGTGTCAATATAAAGTGTTCTCTATTCAATCAGAAGGATGATATCATTACAGATACACTTCACTTCTTGTTGATGAATTTAAATCAAACAGTTGGATATTTCAAAGTGATAGAGATCTACGCATCAGAGCTCATCGTATTCAACTGAGTGTGTGAATTTTCGTACTTGATGAAACTTATGAGTTGTAGATTTAAATCCCTGCATTTGACCGAATGGCCTTTAACAGGAACTCAGCGTCACAGTACGGTGGATGTGAAAACCATTCAGAGGTGAAGTTAGGGTACACACAAAGCTAACAATTTATAGACTATTCAGAAACTTTATTCACCTAATTTGAAACTTTACTGAGCTTTATTCGATAGGCGATTGAAATCAATGACCACTTGAAGATTCTCAGAAGTGTGAATTTCAGCCCATGGATTTCCAGAGTTATAACATATGTATAACTATTGTGATAATCACGGACTCAGTTTTCATTCCTAAATTATTTTTCGGATGATAGCCTACTAAGAATTAGCGGTTAACAAATACTGACATTCTTCTCAGTAAATGTACACTTCAATGATGTTTATATGCGATTCTGCAGCTTATGAGAATGATATCGCCAAAAACAAACTTTTCGCCAGGTTCTTTCTTCTTTTTGGATTAACTGTGAATGAATTCCAAATGTTTTAAGTCGTCTATAATGTTATTAGTATATTCGGAAGTCTAAAATAAGCTATGTTTTGACATAAATAAACCCCACAACTGTTAAAAAGCTGCGGTTTTCTTTGTTGGTTAAGCAGATCTAGTGTATTGTAAGCTAAACGATAAGATAACATGTTCCAGTTTTAAGCCAAACACTGTCTTGAGGTTACATTTCACACAATGAAGGTTTACGAATTTATCAAACTTGATCAAGGTTTAATTTTTGACCACTTTATATTGGGTTGACAATTTTCAGTTTATCTATGGCTTATACAGTATTGGGTTTCTCTGAATGCCTGAGGTCTTGCTTCTTGATCATGCTGATCTCCAAAAACACGTATTCAAAATTAGATCTTCCCATATATGCTTACCAAGACTTTCTTAAGACACCCAGGATGTGCAAATGCAATGATGCGCAGTTTAGTAGATTCTTAGCAATCAACCTACCCGGCGAATATTTCCTGAACCCAGGCTTGTAGGGCTCGTTTAGCTGAACCTCTCGTTTTAAGGGAACCATCCGGAAGGTCCAAAATTTTAAGAAGTAATTCCTCTTGTTCTTCAATCTGCAGGAAAACAAATTAGAAATTATTTATACGTAATGGTACAGAGATCGTCAGGTTGGTATGAAACTAGTTACACAAGACCTTAAATCCATGAAGAATTCGAACCGCTAGCAGTTCTCATCATTCATCTAGGCTATATATTTCTTTTCTGATCATCTGCAAAGTGAGTTTTAATGGCTAGGAAGAGAGGTACTGGATCAAATTTTATCTACAGTAGTATTGGTAGCACATTACTGTACAAACAATCTCTGTGTACAGGAATAGTATGCATCAGTTATTACAGTCTGTTTTCCTTTTTTAGTTATCAGTTCTTAACTGAAAATTGCGGTGATAATCCTTTCTTCATCTTATTCTCTTCTAGAACTTCACACTCAGAGCATTTTCGAATTTGTTAACTTTCATACTTTCCTTACGGATCCCAAAGTCTGTAAATCAAGTACTTTCAATTATAAAAAAACACTCTTCGTTTGAATCTAAGATACCACGTTGACAATAAGACGTTACCCTATTCATTAATACCACACTCATTCATATACGATCAACAGAAGTATGGTCATGTAGTATTTATGGATTCTTGGGCTATCTAGAGAATAATATTTCTTACTGAATTACTATAAGGTTTTGAAATAGCAAGAAAATAGTGAAGTTCACATTCAAATTGTTTGACAGTGAGATGGTGGAGATCATGTCAAAAAACGTTTCAGAAGAGTAAACTGGATAATAACACCTGTGATTTTCTCATATATTTGTGAATCTGGAATTATTATTATCCAATATCATCTCAAATACTTTGATTTCTTTGATTTTCCACAAGCGCCTTGCAAAAAAACTGTACCTCAGACAAATACCTCTTTGACCTGTAGAAGCCTCTTGGCTTTGACACGTGACTAGATTACGCCATAAAAGAAGGTTATCCTAAAGCTGTCTACACTTTAGCAGCCAAATTCAGGTTTAGCTACTCAATCCCATAAGGGTGAATCGTCTGTCATTTATCATTTTTCTTATTGGTTGATAGACTGGATCTATGTCTATCCATCTACTGATTGCTGACTAACCTGAATACCAAGCTTCTAGGAATTCTCTGATATTCTTTGTGTTCCCTCTGTCCGAAGTGTCAATGAATGAGAAGCAAATTAGACATTAACCTGATTTGGTTTTATAATGATTGTTGTTACTAATTAACTAGTCACCTACTATTTTTTTGCTAACCGTGCTTTAATAATTTCTTTATCATTCACGTATTCAAGTGTTGACATTAGAATTTTCTTGATACACACTGGATGCGGTGCAAAAGCATGTGTTAAAAGCTGTCGCTCTCCGTTAATGAATATCATTCGCAAATTATTCGTTGTCTGTGTTCTAGGGTATCAGTAGGTGACAACTTACTTTCCAAATGACACTTCATCCATCTATCATTAGTTAAAAATGTTCACGAACTTTATTAAAAGTATTAAAATAAAATGGAATATTACACAGCAAGAAGTGTTCTGACATTTACATTTTAATAAACCTTACTACTGATTTTTTTGTTAGTAGCTAATAGTACAGAATTTTACTATTGGCTAAACACAAAATGATTAAAAAGGCTTGAATTACCTGGAAATAAAGTATAATGACCCATATAAGCCCAAGAACAATTGCTGGCTTCCCATCAGCGATATCCGTTGGATTTACATTTACCAGTTTAACCTGTACCAGATATGAGTTGAATGAATCAAAAACAAAATAAACGGTAGTGGGACACACAGCATAAGGTAAGAAGGTTGGAAAAAGTAAACACTAATGTAGCGATAATAACTGTGACATGCATATGAAACCATTTTCTGCCTTTGAAATGCTTTCCACTGGAGAAACCTCACTTCAGATTATCACTCATAGGTTAGAAAATAGGTGGATTTGTGTTAAAACTGGACTTTCTTCGTTCATAAGCCAACTGACCAACTAAAAGCAATGAGGTTGTGGTTCACAACTCCTTAGTTGTACTCACAAGTAATCTTTTTATGATTTCGCCTTACTGTGATGCTGCAATCGGGCGAAATTCTAGATTGATCCATCAACATGGGAGATAACAGTATGCTTCAGTCACGGACAACTTCGACAAACCCAGGCAAAAAGAAGAATGAAAATGAGTTTTCAATGAGAACTCTTACTGCCTTCGTAAAAGATCAAGATAGTTCACAACAAATGTGGTTACTTACTTCAGTTTTAACTATATCCAAGAAAGAGAACACTGGTACATATTTAAAGCAGCGTTAGCCAATGAGAAGCTAAGCCACGAAAAGTTTGGGGCAATCAGACTACTAGTCATGGCTTGGACAAAGGCATATAAACTTGAAGTTAAATGAATGAAAATAAAATTAATATTAAAGATAACTTTAGTGGCTTCGCAGCAGGTGGGAATATCAAGCTTAAATCACCTGGTTGTAACCGAATGGTTCAATTTTTCTAAGCTCACTATTATTTTCCTTGTGAGGTCTATACTTATCATGAACTTAGTTTATATAAAAGATGATGATCTCTTTGTTTTTCCCAGAAATCTCTTTTAACTATTAGTGAGCTTCTTTCGCAGTTTTTGGTGACATGAATAACCCTCACCTGTTACAAAGTACTGATAGGTGTATTCTTTGGTTACCATGGCGTTTGCCTATATGATTAAGAAAGGTTATGGTAATTCATTTTCACTAAAAAGTTATAATGAGGTGTTGGTGGTGGGATCTGTTCGTTTAAGATGCTTATATTTCAGAACAGAGAGCATTTATGGTGGGAAATTGCAACAGATCAACCAATTTTTAAGCAGTTATAGCAATCCAGTTAGCGTTGAATCAGATAAAGATGCCGCTGAAAATTCTGTTGCGAATATCGTGTGTGATGTAATCTACTATACGTCAGAAGTGGACAGTTCTTCTGTCCACACGGAACAATATTCGAACGAGAAGTAGGTAAACTAGCTTAGTTGGCACAAGATGTCTGCGGTATTCAGCGTATCTTACTCTTCTACATCGAAGAGAAATATCTCCTGTTGCAATACTTCTAGGAAGAAATGATATCTACATGTTCTCTTAAAGGATTTTCTACGCATGATTTTCATTAATTTTAATTACACTCAGTCACTTTCGTTAGCAAATAACTAGTTCTTGCGACTATCCAACTTCTTCAACTAAAAGAGAATAATACAGAATTAATAACCAAATAGACATCAATATTGTCACGGTGAGACAGATCAACTTACATTCTTTGAATTCAGAAATTCCAATCCAGTTTTGATATTTGACAGGTAATGAATCCTTTGCATTTGAGGTCGATTTTCTGCTCTCTATTTTAAAGAAGAATTGAAAATTCAACACAGCGAGGTGTAATCTAGGCCATGACGTGTAGTGTTTACCTGAATTTATTGACATGTCATAAGAAATTCGTTTCATGAAAGCGCAAAGCTATTATTCATACAATTGTGTTAACAAGATCACAATCAGCCTATCACCTGCTGACATCAATCAAAATACTTCACAAAATTAAGTAAATAGTTAGATTTAAGTTTATTACACGTCTATTGTATTGACGAGGACGACGGTGGTGAGTAAAGCGAGCGATGTTGTTTTCCACAATATATACTTCTTCTTTGTCTTCTGCTTGTTTTTCTCTGTTTTCTTTCAGTCTGTCCTGTTCCTCCGTCTAGAACGTTCGCCAGTTGGTCGCCTGCTCTTGTGAATTTTATCGAAGGTGCCTTATTATATGCTACTTAAATCCATTCTTATCAGTAGGACACATTGTGTTAGCGTTATTTCAGAAAATATCTTGGTTTCCTGAACAGTAATTGGTCAAACCACAGTTTCCAGATGTCTTTTTCTTATGATACAAGTAAGTATTCTTAAAAGGGTCAAAAACTGTTTGGGTTTATCAGCCAGTATTTACTTACAGAAAGTGAACTGATAAATCAAATCAGTAAATTTAATATGGAATTACATTCTGCTATAGTGCTCAAGTTTTACACTTACATTTATGGGCTTTTATTTATTCTTCCTATTGCATAGATTTCATTTTAGAAGAAACAAATCTTCTGAGAAACACTTCACATAAAAGTGGGCTGTTTCAGCGATCATAATGCAAAAATTTAATGAAAGGTGAGATAAAGATTGTTGATTGATTATCTGAAGTGATTGACAGTGTACCGGAATGGTGACCACCAACGAGACCCAACCTATGAAGGGTGCCCTATTGAAGTGCAATCAGCATACACAGGCAATTCGAAGATACTTATTTTTCTCGTAAAATTCAAAGCTTATTTACATACAACATAACTGCAAAATATACATGATAAGAAGTTGTGCTACAAGTCTATGTGAATAGAATAGAATTTTTTCAGGTGATTAACTGACCAACTAGTTTAAACTCAGACTGGTACCATTTCTGTACACAACATTAAAAAGCAGTTTCAGTGATAACGATATGAGATGAGGACTTTGTAAAGCAATCACTAATTTTGATATTAATCTTAACATTAGCTGGGTTTGAATTCTGCGACGCATATGTCTAATTCTGTTTTGTAAACGACCTTGAGATGACCACTGTAAAACTAAATTCTGGTTGATCATTATTGGCTGGAAAATAATCAACGCATCAATGTACCCATATCAGTTTATACAGTTGCCTTAAGAGAAAAGCTTCAAGGAAGCTGATGCCTCTCAGCACACAAATGAATGTATTTTATGCTGAAGGTGGGAGGAAGCTGTTAGGATCTGGATATCAGAACACATAAGTGAATTCAAACTGTCCAAGTATTTCACACCAGCTTTGGAATTAATCAAACTGTTTCAGGATAGACAAACAGATATCATCGTTCCACAGGCATGAAAACGTTTTCACAGGTTTCAAGTTATTATTTGATTTAGTTTCAATAGGTAGAAGATCAGGTGTACATCTAACAGTTCAATCATTTGGTTGTATTGTGTTCTCTGAGCCGGGTTGTTTAGTCGTGAAGCTTCCATCGTCTTTCCGGACAACATCATCAGCACTAACTTCAGTATGAAGTGAACTGTCAGTATCTCTCCGTGAGTAACTTAGTAGTTTGCCCTAACGAAGTGGTCTGTGATTGGTTGTTTCCTTCGATTGTTATGTCATTGATTGTATAGACTTTCCTGTTGGCTGTTCTTCTGCTTCATCTCTGACCTTTCTGTCGTTTATCATTTTTCTTATTGGTTGATAGATTGGATCTATGTCTATCCATCTACTGATTGCCGACTAACCTGAATACCAAGCTTCTAGGAATTCTCTGATATTCTTTGTGTTCCCTCTGTCCGAAATTTCTACGTTGTTGAAATTGAATTCATATCCATAGTTATTCACGTGCATTGAAGTGAGTGATGAAATGTCGTGACGTTTAATAGTCAATTGGTGTTCATGTAGACGAAGGCGAAGAGGGCGGCCGCTTTGTCCAATGTAGTGCTGACTACAGTTATTGCAGTTGATTTTGTAAATGATATTTGGTTTTCTTCTTTGTTTGTTGCATCCTTTGGCCTACATAATAGTGTTTGGAGGGAATTTGTTGGTTTATGAGCCACACCAATTCCAAGTGGCCTCAGTAATCTTGTCGTGATTTCTGATATATTCTTTATGTACGGCAGGACTATGCATTTATTGATTTCTGTTGATGACTTTGCAGTTGATGATGTACGGCTCACTTAATACTGAAGTTAGTACTGATGATGTCGTCCAGAAAGACGATGAAAGCTCCACTATTAAACAACCCAGCTCAGAGGACACAATACAACTAACACCATCCACCTGAGCTACAAGCATTCTCCACTAGTTCATTCTTTCTTTTGGTGTACCTCTGTTTTATTGCAGTTTTCATAACCAAGGTGACCATATCATCATGGATACCTCTTGATGCACCGACTAAAAGACAGTTAAATATTACTGATTCACTTAGCTGAACAAAACACTTAATGATTGAAGTGAAACATTGTGTATACTAAACCGCTAACAAAATGTTACTGGTCCGAACGATATCATGAGTTGAGCGAACAATAGTTTCCAATATATACTTAAGGCTCTCTCTCCAGTTATAAATCAGTGAAAATAAGTGGAATACAATAGCCAAAATAAGGCATGATATATAATTATTACTACATTGAAAGAGTCAAGGTTGTGGGGTAATGGAGATCAAATGGAATGGTGGAATGGTAATCAGTCTAGTGTGTTGGTTGTGTAATAAAATCACTGTTGATAGAATAGTTACGAAATGAGGAGACAAAATCAACAGATGATGATTCAGTTATATACACTTATTATGACATGAATGTATGTGTATGTGTAGGTGTGTGTGTACGCGTTTGTTTACTAAGGGTCAAATAATAATTATGTAGTGATGAGTTATTGAAATAGGGGAGAATATTTGTAGCTCAGCTGGATGGTCTCTGTCGTATTGTGTTCTCTGAGCTGGGTTGTTCAATCTTGATTAAAAAACATCAATGTATTTCACCTAATCTCATGGATTTATAACTGTAGAGCCTGAAGAAGTTATTGAAAACAGTTGTTCGCTCAAATTATTATTGTTCTGGATATCATCATAAGTGAAAAAGTATCTTCCTTCAAGTTTTGGGAATGGAACTCTTAAAGTGACTTCATGCCGTAGTTTATAAGGACTATTGAACGTGCCAATTACACTAACAGGTGACGGATAATCAAGGAATCAATAAAATTGCCAAAAATAATTTCAGGTGACAATAAACCTGTGACACGATACAGTGCGTATCTGAACCGCCTAGTTTTCTGTTGGTTTTATACAACTACTTACTTGAGTTTCAAGCAGTAAATAAGTCACCTGAATAGGTTGAAAAGTTAGAAGTAAGTTACTTTGTCTGATAACATAAAGAAAATCATCAGTTTGCACTCAACCAAACATTGGTTTATTTTGCGAGAGAGACAAACTCAAACTCAAAGATGACATTGAAACGATGATGGTTACTCAGTTGTGGAATCCCATATTCACATCTTATTTTGCCTCCTCAGGAGCATTTTCAGATAAAATACTGACCATTTAATTTAAGTGACTGCTTCGAAAAGTAATAAGTGGATACTCTTACAACTGGAAAATGTGTTGAGGAATACTACATCTGCTCACCACAAACTCCTTGGATAGTTGACGTCTATTCAACCGAAAAAGTGTTGACAGCTGATCATATACAGGTATTTATTTCACAACTGCATACATATACTCCTAAGTTTAATCCTACATTTCAGTACAACCTAGTTAAGAGGTCTGTGATTCTCAAGATTAGCGTTTTCTAACTCTCCCGGTGATGCTGAGTAAGATGCATTGATAGGCGAATGAAAAATAAAATGTTTATTGCTTTCCAAACTTACTAATTTCTCGCCTGATAAAACTTCTAGAATTCTAATCAACAGTATTCCGTTCTTGATATCTTCAAACAAGTCTTGAACTTTAAAAGGTGGATTGGCCTAGAAAAAAGAATAATCATAAAAATGAGCAAAGTGTAAATATAAATTACTGATTATATCATCAGCTAACATAATTTTATTGTTTGTTCAGAGAAAGGACAAAAAAATGTTTCTCTCTTTATTTGAAGATGATAGTTGAATGCTCTATTTTGTTAAAGATTGGAAACCACTTCAACAATAACCATTTTTGACAGCTGTTTCTTGATGCTGGTTAATGTGATGGTCAGTAAAATCAATGGTTTCGAAAGATGATTCATATGTCAGCTGGGCAAAATACCCTTGGTGAGTGAAGTCAAAATAACTAAAATAACAAGCTGATTTCATTTGAAAAAACATACGAAGTCATACGGAGAAGGTTATAATCAAACTAATAGACTTTACAGAAGTGGAGAGTCCTCTTGGGTTACTGACAGCTGATGTAATCACTTTAAAGCCTGAGAGATAAATGAAATGTATATTGTTTAAGTTAACATTTCTGAAATAAAATACCTAGGGATTTTCTCGTTATCTAGCTGGCATTGGTAATTTCTGTGATGCACAATTATGCGGAAGATAGTCAAGTAGACCCAAAAGTTTTAATCACGAGGTATAATAAGAAAACAATCAGGTTTGATCACGAACAATAATTAAGGGAAAAACACTTAACTTTCAGTATCCGAGTATCTGTTTAGTTTGGCGATTCTTAATTAAGTGTAAAAGTGAACCGAATGTGTGTTGTTGCTCACCTCAGTTGTAGTCCCAATAGTAGTTGGATCCCAACAATTCAGCTCAAAGGTCTATTACTATAAAAGTTCTCTGTCAAGGTATCAGTTTGGTACCTTCATGTCTGTCTTCGATAGTTTTACTGCTAAGGTTTTCACATGATTACTGAATCATATGTATTGAATGGAAACCAGACAGTAGTCACTTCTATGCACTAGCCCTTACTAACTCCAGTTGGATACAGTGCATCATAATTCCCATCCGCTTAGCTTAATTACCGTTGAGCGTTCTCCTGACGACAGACATCAACCAGAGTATGCCTTCGCTGAGATACGAAGTAACAAGTATTTATATTTGCATCTGAATTTTATTCCATTGAACTACAGAAGCCGATTTGTTCTTTTTTTCGCAGTGCAACATCATTCACAAATACAGATGCATCACTTCCTGAAATAATCTCCTAGAAAATTGTTTGATGAACTAGTTGAATTACAACTGTTATAGTTAACACATGATTAATTGCCTATAAATATATATTTGTTTCAATAACTGTTAATGTAAACAGTTTACTACTGGTATCCGGTATGTTGTCGTGTAAGCTCAATGTGGTACTCTAGATCAAAAATATTACAATAAATGAAGAGATTGATTAAAATTACGCTCAAAATCACTCATTTCACACACCATTTGAACGGGATAGTTATCAGTGGTGTCAGTCATGCTACATAAAGCCTACATGGTAACATACCGGATATCGTCAGTGAAAAACAATTCAATAAAAAGTGAACATTCGTTACTCTGCGTATTATTGTGTGATATTATCAAGTATTCACTTATTTACTATTAGTCATGGATTATGGGATGAAAAATTTATTCTAAGCTAATTTAGTATAAATAAACTCAAAATGACTGTTTACACTCAGTGATCCAATTTTTACGGTTGGTAATATTTCTGGGAAAGAAATGCTCCTTGTGATCATATCGACAGAAGGAAAAACAGTATCCAGCTAACTAGCCGTAACGTGTTTATCTGACTGTTATCCAGTTGAATCAATCTGTTTATCATTGTAAGCTGTAATTAATTGTTGATGTCACTCCGTAGTTTATTTCGCAAGAAAATAGTGTTCATTTAGATATTCTGACTTCTGAGATTGACTTACAGTACACAAATATGTATTCAACCAGTTTGTAAATGTCTTCTTTTGTACACGTTCTTGTTCGCCTGAAAAACAATTGAATAGTAAAGTTGTTAGAATTTCATGCAGTTAATTCATTCAGGTCAATAATTTCAAAAGTAAAATAAACCATAACATGAGTTTCACTTGGTCTCACCAACATTTAGAAATTGTTTTCCAGTGAATCAGATTATGAAATTTCTTAAGTCAAATAATAAACCGCTACTCATGAGTGACTTTCCTCGAACAATGTTCAGTAATTCGTCATTGAAAGTAGTGATTGACAAGACCAAACTGGTAAAAAAGGAGAGGAAATATGAACAAATATATGTGAAGGGATATACGAGATAGATGGCATTGAGAAGTAACATATATGTCAGCATATCCATTTGACTAGAACAGTAACGACACTTAGTTAGAAGGTCTCGTTATCACTAATTTGCCCGTTTAGGAGGTCGATGACAAAGACTTATGAGAGAACGAAACAGATTTTAGGAGCAAGTAAACTGTAAAAGATTTTCAGTTGGTGTCATGAAGTGAGTGTATTTCGTATTTAGAATATCTCAATCAAAAAACGTTGCCTGAAAGTATTCAAGAGGTAATATTGCAAAAGATTTATTTGCCATTTTGCACCACATCAATGCATGGTCACCAGGACTTGGGTCCAGGATGAGCGTTTTGTCCTATTTGGGACTCATCAACGGAATGTACCAGCATACCAGTGACTGGTGCTGTCTCTCAATGAGATCAAATCTGATAACTTTTCTACTTGGTTACGGAATTACGTCTAGTGCTTCATAGTGCTGATTAGTTGCATGCCTTGAGATGGACTTCCCGAAGTTCTAATGAGAAGCTGTCACCCTTCGGGATAGCTAAGACAGGTGTATGAAGACAAATGCCTGCCAATGACATTGGATGACGATCATGCTTTATCGTAAACTGACAGAAACAAAAGGATGTGAATTGCTGGATTCCAACCCAGAGGCTGAATAGTAACGTGTTCTCCACGAGACCTGCCGACCTGGGCTCAGTGCCTCGCTAGGCCGTGGATGCGCACTGCTAGGCAACCCATAGTGAGAAAAAATAGCCGTCACCCTCTCTCAGGCTTCCAATAGTTCGCCAACTGATGTCCATCTAAGGTGAATGCTACTTTGAAATCTCTTTTAGCATCTAAATTATAAAACCAAATTAGTTATCATATTGGTAGGCAAGTCTGTTATGGTTCGCTTTGTTCAAGGCAGAATATCAATTCGAGATTTTAAGCAGGCCAAGCTGTGAATTACCATTTAGACGTTTATTAAACGACTATTCGAGAGAAAAAAAAAAATTCACTTCCTCATTGACGGCTCAACGTGAATAGATATTATTTTCAAAAGAAATAACATTTCAGCCTACTGGTAAAAGCTAGTTAATAAAAGATTATCTGTCTTAATGTGTCAGTGACTGAGAACCAATCAAAGAGATTACAGCAGTAGCCACTTATTGGCAGTAATTCCGTAAGAATAATTGGGAATAATGAAAGAAGAATACGATTTATGAACTGCAGTAGTAGTGTCGATGATATTGGTAGTAGTTTGAAGGATGAATTAGGGAAAACAATATCTTTATACATTTAGGCGAGTGGGCTGATAAAAAGGCTTTACGAATTTCTTCTTAACACCTGCAGCTTCGAATTTTTCAGTTGAATCACTGTGGGTTCTGCAATATGTTCAGAACGGTGCTTAAAGCATGAATGAGGCTAGAAGGAATGTGGTCAATGACTTCAATTTCCATTATAAACCAGATGTAAGTTACACATTGGTGTAGAGATGCTGAAGAGCAGCTAATTGAAAAGTGAAATGTATCCACTCAAATTGCTACTTAATAGGTTTCTAATGCTGGAAGGACCTACACATGTCTATCAGATGCAGTTATAAGTTATATGTGATTTTAAACGGAAAATGAAAATAATGATCAGTAGTAATAAACAGTGTGACGGAAGGAAAATTATTGATCTACCTCAAGTTTGCTACAAGCAGCAAAACGTTCATTACTTTCTAAAAATCGAAATCTTCTTAGACGCGAACTAGCAACAGTTTACCAGTTATAGACTTTACTTTCATACATTCTCATTTATTTACAAGAGGCCCTACTGAGTACTGAAATGAGCTAGATTCAAGTTAGCTGTTGAACCTCTAGAAAGTATAGGTTATCACTGGCTGCTCTTGCAAATAAATCTGTTTGTGTCTTCGAGAAATATCAGCCCACTAAGAGCTTCTTACAGTGTCTTGATGCTCCTTAAGGCGTACAAAAGTGTACGTGAGACGCTTACACGACTGATGAGATAGTATTTATTTTAGGGCTGCAAGGCCTGATGGTAAGAAAGTTCAAGTGACAAGGAAGCAACAGCCGCAAACGGCAGTACGCAGAAGTTGCTACAGCTTATCTGAGCCACTAGCATGAAGAAGTCTGGTGTAAATGAGATAGCCTGTCAAGTAAATGGTACACCAACCACTAAATTAAATAGGCACCCGAAATGCTAGGTGAAGCACTTCGAAAAGCAGTTCGGCTGACCAACTACTGCAACAACATCAAACTGACTGCGTTGTGCTTCATGGTCGGCTAACAACAACCCAACTAACGAGGCAGATGTTCACAAGGAACTAAGTAATAAAGTGCAGTGAGATACGGAGCCCAGACAACATACCGCTGGCTTTTTTAAACTCTAGTCGGAGAAATGACTACATTTTTTGAAAAGGTAAGATAGAGTGAGAATATCCTATGATTCTGGAATGAAGCCATCGTTTTACTCATCGGTAAAAAGATGTCCGCGTAATGTAAGTGTCACTGACTGCAATAAAATTCAATGCACGAGGAACACACCGTGTTTGGTTCAGACTATGAAAGCGTTGATCACATGTTCACTTTCCGCTGGACGATTAGACACAATCAGACGTTCTGCAATCCAACAATCGTTGTATTCCTCGATGTTAGGGCTACCTTAGATTCACTAGACAGGGTTGTATTCTGCAACTGTCCGTTAAAGAGAGTTGCTTCCGGTGAGCTAGTTCATATCTCGAAAGCCTTAGACTTTAACACATTAGGTAGAGTTATAGCACAAAGTAACCTATCTTCACTGTTCCAAACGGATGGTGTGCTTTGACAGGGTTGCTAGATTCCGCCGTTGCTTTTCAGATTTGCCATCGGTGGTATACTGAAGAGAGCTATGAAAGAGTTACGTGTTGGCAGTGCAGACATGTCACCAGATAAAGGGTTTTTTGACCTCCGGTATGCGAACGCTATAGCTTGACTTACGACATTCCCAACCGTATATCAAAATTTAGAGCAACAGACTCCAAACTGACCACCCTTGGTGCCGTTGTAACATTAGGCTTGCTGCAAAACGTAGAATATACGACATGTTGGTGAGGATAGCTTTTCTCTATGCCTGTGAAACATGTACTCTCTGAAATGAGGATGTTCGGTGACTCTGAATTTCCATTCACCGTCGTTTCCTGAAGATTAGTCGGACTCAGTGAAAGCACCATGTAAATAATTCTCAGCTGAGATGGTATGCGCCTGAGCGTGATGGAAGTCGTCATTCAGTGTGTGGTGAGCTTTAAAGGCCGGCTTTGGTGACTTGGACATTCGTTACGTATGTTGTCCCATTGGCTACCACACCGTTTACTGTTCACTTGTCCTGGCACTTGTTGCAACAAGTGGAGAGGCGACCAGTGGATGAAGTGGCGCAATAGGATGAAGGGTAGTTTTATCGGGTTAGCATCTGTAGGTGCCACACGATTCCCTCCCTAGATGAGGTGCAACAGTTCCTGCAACTCAGTTGCTCCAGACGACAGTAAACGTGTCTACGAGCTAAAACCGGTGATGGCAGTTTTCTTGTTCCTTCTAGTCCTGAAAGGCGTGAGAATAGCAGTAGATGATTTTCAGAAGATAACTTCGAGACTGTCTCTTTAGTAATCCACTTCTGTTTGTTTCCCATTCTCTCTTTCGTTTCCTACATCCTCATGATTTTGCTTCCTATTTTGTGTAGCATATCTCTTGATGTCTGTCTGTACCAGTTCTGTTTCCTAATAATAATATGATGGAATTTTCTGACGTGATAAGCTGGTCGGCCACTATTTTTTATATAGCGATTAAAGTTATACTTTTTAATGTTACGCTCAGTAATTAGGATCAGTGAACGCAACAATACCATAAAAACGGGTCTTACAAAGTTAAGAAGTGGAGAAATTCTTCGCTACAACGGTGTACCTACCTGAGATATTTTTGGCTGTTTAGTGTGGGCAAAAATGGTGCCTAACAGTGGGACTTTCTCTTAGTTACTTTCATGGATTCAACTTCTGAATACTTATCACTACTAGCTGCTTTTTCATCTGTAGTGGTTGTAATTATTTTCACTACAGGCCTTAGAAAATTTCTAATAAAGTTCAACCTTAGATACATGCAAGCAACATTAAATGACTAAGTTCTTACACCACCAGAATAAAATATCATAGTCTTTAACTTGAAACATTTAACTCGTAACATTGGATCAAGTAGCTTCAAATACGAAAGTGCTCTGATAACTGTTTGTTCCTATGTTGTTTTTGTAAGGTAAGATCCAATGATGCCGCCAGGATCCAATCTATATTATTAATCAGGTGCTCAACAAATCGATTTTTGTGTTTTCACGGACCGATTTATACACTGATTTAGTTGAATTTGTTACATTAGGCAGCTACAAAAATTCGTTGTTATTCGATTTGTTTGTTAGATTCCTCATATATGAAACGTTCTTAAGAAATCTACACCTAACCGGTTGGTTAAGCAAGCTTACGCAATTTGTCAGGATGTCTGAGGTATGAGAAAATGATGATGACATTGATACGATCGAACCACACTGTCAAATGAAGTCTTTGACTATCGGTCTGAGTTATATAAGGAACTGATGGTTTCCTTATAGTGGTGACGTCGGCAACCAATCTCGTTTGTTACACAGCACTTTTGGGTTCCTTAGCTCACCAAAAATAGCCTTTTTGGTTAGTTACTAACCAAATGATAGATGATG